AGGCGCGAAATCCAGCGGTTCTCGGATACTGTCCAGCCAAAGTTGGGATCCGATGTCGTGGATCGGGACCATTCTCATGTAGTTTTTTGAATCCAAATCAGCACCAAGAGATTGACGTCCATATGTCGGAAGCGATTGACGTTTTTTCCGTTACGAGACGTAGGCGTCGCGTCTTGGCGCGGCGTTGACTCGTTCCCAGACTCAAGTGGAGAGCGACAATGCTTTCCAACTGCTGGTGCTGATTGGTTTCGAAAAACTACATGAGAATGGTCCCGATCCACGAGATCAGATCCCAACTTTGGCTGGACAGTATTCGAGAACCGCTGGTTTCGCGCCCCAATTTTTTTCCTGCGGCCAGTAGAGGTCCGAAACTCCCCAAAAGAAAAAAATCAAGAGGGGGACACGTGGGGACACCGCATTTCTGACATCGAGAATTTAACGAATTTCCGAACTTTTTCGTCTCGGCGAAAAAGTCTTCCCAGCAAGTCCAGAATCGGCTGACTCGGCCGGAATCATGCGGGATTGCGAGATCAGGATGGGAACTGAGCGCAGAAAATAATTTCCCCCCAATGCGAGGGCACGAAGTATGTTCATTTCCGAGCATCACCGATTGGGGGGAGGAATTCATGAAAATCGTCGTAAAAATAAAAAAATCAATTTTATTCTCGCAGGTGCCAGGGTGGCTGGGGGATGCGGAAAATGCGGTAATCATGGTTCCCCCGCGAGTTCCAGAGTCTTACGAACATTTTCAAACCCATAACCGATCAAAATTCCGGGATCGATTTCCATGGACTTTTGTCCACCTAAAATTCGATTTGGCCCCACTGTGCTCCACGAGAAAGAGCCCAATCACTCTGGCACTGAGCACAGCTCCGTTGGTATAATACTTCCGGCGTCGACCCTGTTGCTTAGACTTGAGCATTCAATGCGGAACGATTGGTAATGGCGGCCACGACATCGACAAAGGAGGCCTTGTGAATAGCTCCCTCGTCCCCTTTCAAATAACATCAGCAGGTGTTCTCTCGGTGTTCCTCCTTCAGACTCGCTCGCTATCTTGAAGTACGCCGCGTCTTCGTTCTAGCCGCTTCTCAAAGACCAATTCGAGAGGGTGGAATCGTAGAAAGGCTCTAACTGTGGAAATAGAGATTCGAGTTAGGAATCCACCCTCCCGGTAGTACCACGGCCCAGAACTCATCGATGATAGCCTACTTATGCTCTAGGACCCGCGATCCCGCGTCGTCGCCTTGCGGTTTTCCAGGGCACACGGCCTTCTTGCAGGAACTCAATCGAGTGAATGATAGATAGGAATATCGGGTCATAGCCTCGGTCGATGATTCGAGGCCCATCATCTCTCAGTCAGCTTTCCCCGTCCGTTGACCCCTAAGGCGAGCTCAGTGCCCGGGGACAGATCCTTAGAACGATAGGAATTCGGGACCCAGCCGACCCGGCTGATCCTGTTCTCGTCTTGCTGCCGGATCCACTTGCTATTCTGCATCCCTCGCCGACTTGAATCAGCGTACCGAGTTCCTTCAAAATATCAGAGCCGAATCTCATTCGCTCCGATTCGCAAACCGACATCCTGGAGACCTGGCGAATGCCAAGACCCCGTGCCGAAATGCAGCCCTCTACTTCGGCGGGAATAAGAATTGTCTCGCGCCCTCCGCGATCATCGGATGGCTTTCCTGCAATGGCTGCATTTGTTGCATTTGAATGAAGATCCGACGCTAAAATAAACTCCCGAAGCTGTTTTAATCCGGACACTCATTCCAACCGGGACAACGGCGGAATCGGACCTTCGCGAGAGCCCGCGAGAGTCCGCGAGAGGGGGATTATCGCCTTAAACCTCAGAGGACTAGTACGTCTCACCTTCGAGAACGATGCCGATAACGACATCAGGAGGGCACGCCCGTACTGGTTGCCGAAATCGACTACTGAGTTGTCGGCGATTGAAGCGATGTCATCGAGTCACCCACGCTATCGATCAGAGCGTGTGACGTACTCGGACACGGGAAGAGAGAGCTTTTCCGTCTTGTGATTGCAGCCTGATCCGTGCGACCTATCAGGCAAGGATACGACAGAGGAAGCGGATACACGCACGCAGCCCCCACAAGCAGCTGCAGAAATCGAATTCTCCGGGACACAAACGGACGGGGAAAGCTATAGTTTCGCTCACCGCAAGAGGCTATCGAGGAAATTCCGAGAATCATTCTCAAGCGGATCGGTCAGGCGGCTATTTGACCGCATCCTTTGGGACAAATCAGAACCCAGGTATTGCGGAGCCTCGAACGACACATCTTTTTAGAGTTTTCGCGTAAATACTAGAGCGTGCTCATCAGCCGCATCTCGTAAGCCGATTAAATGCAACGGACGCTTGATTGCGAGTTTATATACCTTGCCACCGGGACCACGGTGCTTATCAATGCCTAAAATAGTTCAGCAACCGCTGGCTAGAAATGATAGTGACGTGTCACTGAACACGACAACTTTTTTGCAGTCAGATACATGTAGTAATTACATACAGTCCGTTGGACCACTGAACGATCTCGGAGAGCGCATGTTGGCCCGGGCTCGTTTATAAAACTTAGGATCCGCTTCCTGGAACTAGTTTCGGTGACATCGGAAAGGCCAAGGAGTAAATCCTGAACACTTGACTGCTTCATTCCGATAGCAGTCTCGCGGGAGCAGACTCAGGCTGAAAGCGCCGATGACGCCATAGCCTCTCGGAGCAGAGCAGCACTTATGGGATACTTTCTCAGACACGGGAAAGCTTCCTCTCTTCCTCGAGCGCAGCAAAACGTGCGTGACTCTCGGCCCCACAGGTGGGTGTACTATCGGAAACGAATCAGAGAACGCTTTCTCGCGTCATCACAAGGATCATCGCTGATCAAAGACGACATAAAAGGGGCGCGGCCTATTTTTCGCTCCGGCGAAGCGTAGCCTTTTAGGTTGTACTTGAACATGTCACCCACGGTCGGTCCTCTTCGGATTCGAGGGTTCGGAGAGGGCTCGGTCGGAGGACGTTCCGGAAGCAGCATCTTTGCCGGCTCGTCGAATCAAATGTCTTCCCTTCGATGGCGACCACGATATTTCGGATTTCTTACGTTTCCAAACGGAGCTGAGTGAAACTGATCCAGTTCGATTATTCTACCGCTACAGGCATTTGGTGCGCTCCTTATCATCCCCATGCTGAATAGTTTCGTAATTAGACGTGCGAGCCGACTCGGTGCCCGGACATTCGTCTTGCCCTGACATAGGCACAGCGAGGCTTCCAGCGTGTCAAGCTATCACGAATGGAATGAGAAGCTTGCTGCTCGGTCTCCGTCGACAAGCTATTACTGTCTGATCATTGACTTTCTGCTGCACAATCGCGGAAGGCTTTGGCGTTGAGACGAAGCCCCCGAATCGGGTCCCGGGTCTGGTCACTGCGCCTGCGGATGTTTTTTCGATTCCCCTGTCCTGACTTCGATAGTAATTCTCCTTGAGCGTCGCGTCGACTCCAATCGGACCTACGAGTGCGAGTGCCTGAATGAGAGAGAAATCGGGAGCTAACAGGTCGAGGCATCGTGTCTTCTACGGCAGGAGCGCTGCACGGTATTGGAATTTCGCCCGAGGTGGATCGAAGACGGGTCGACATGTACGTGATAAGAAGGGGAACGACTTTCCGTATCCAGGCGGATAGTGTCGCATCTGCGATATTCAAGTCCAGAGGCTTGTGCGTAGATGCGATCTACTCCCACATACCGAGAGTCTCGCGGACAGCCGCACCGAATGGTTTCTCAGACGGTCTGACTGAGTAGGAGCAAGAACATCAACGTATTCCCGGGGCCGAGTCGACAATAGAACTATGGCTTCGATACCTTCGCAATGCCATCGTACAATAAGTAGTCCCGCTATCAAGCCGTCATTCTCTTCCGTGACGATCAACAAGCTGCACCCGGCTTCATTGTCAGCTGCGTATGCCGGGACGCGACGGATCCACTCTGTGATTGGCTTGTAGTTCGCCTAACGATCTCATCGTTGAGATGGAATAGCCCGCGGGAATAATAGCTCATCAGAGACGTCTCTCGAATAGCCTCTACCGGACGTATTTCGAAACCATTCAATTGGGATTCCCGCTCTTCCAATCTATCGCCAGGAATTGCTTCGCGTCGATGTCGGCGACATTCGCAGAGAAGTACACGCTTGCTCTCGGGCACCGAGGGCAAATTCAATTCGATTTGCGAATGGCTTTTCTTGGGTGATTCCCAACGAATCAAAATAACGCGGTTTGAGGATTCCTGTCGACTCCCCGACCCCCTTGACTGATGAGAACCTTCCCCAGAGCTGGCGGCCGCGCTCTTTGGGCAAGAGCTAGCTCCGTCGAACAAGAAAAAGTTCCGCGCCCGCTACGCCTTCGGGGCATGAGTTTCGTTCCCTTGCTTCGTTAAAATCCGATCTAGGATTTCGGAGGTAGTTCCGACTCCTTCACGAACCCTCCTTCTCGACTCAACCAAAAGCCTCACCTTCCCTGGAAGAGGTCGATCTAGGGAGAAATGAGCGGAAAAATGTCCCGACGCCGGCTTTCGGCGTGAAATCCTCACGCCCAATTTTTCAAAGCGGGATTCAGCGTATTCGCGCGCGCATGAATAAGGCCCCAGGAATCCCTCTTGGCAACGACGCCGATTTGCTACTCTCAGTGCCTTGATGTAGAACCAAAAATCGTCGCGGGCTGCAGCTTAGGTGGTCAGCTGTTATAGAAGGGATGCTCGAGAGAAGCCACTGGCATCGTCCTCCGGCTCTGTGCCGCGTTCGCCTCTCTGCGACAAGGGGGGGGGGCTGTTACGCTCACCGACTACTAAGTGGTGCTTATCGGGATATTACTTCTTCCCGACCTCTCCCTGAGCAATTCTCAGGGGCATTGACTTCCCCCATGTGCACGAGCAGGAGCAATTAAAATGCGACTTACTAAACATTTCTGCTCGAGTAATGAATTCCATATTTATCGAGATAAAGCGTCAGCATTGCGATCGAGAGTTTTATTTACTGCATCACCCGAGATCGGAGAGGAAATTCATCTGAGGGGATTGACGCTCCAAACAGGAGCGGTAACTTCTCCAACGATTTCTCTCTTGATTGAGACTCGTTCGTCAGGATTGCGGTCGATCTCATAGACGACCGCGAGGTCTGCTATGGCTCTGTCTTCGGCATCGGCTTTGTCGAGGGAAAACCGCGCCATGTGTTCCTTGTACCTCATCTCTAGTTTCATCGTCTCTTCGAAGGATTGACTCTTCTGAATTGAGGGAGCGTCTTTGCCTAGAAGATTATAGTATTCTCACCCGGATGAGCTTGACTTTTGTGGGACGGAGCGCATAATTCCGTGGAACCATAATTACCGTCTGATTTGTTATTAGGAGACCAAGGACACTTCGTGATGGCGAGTGATTCAGACGGGGTCGAGGAATCAATCGAGTGGTGCTTCGTTCTCTTCTGAATCCTTTGAGGTGTTTGCTTGAACGTAAGCGGGGTTCTCCCTGGAAGATCGACAACATACGGGGTACTTGAACACGACTCGAAGTTTTCGGCGGAACGGTGACAAGATCGGGGGGATAATTTTACGATTCGCCGAAGAGGTTCGCTTACTCGATTGCTTCTTCTCCAAGCGCATTTCGCCAAGCGCGGGGTATTCCAAGGAGATCTTTTCCTTCTCATATTCCTTCTGCGGAACGGCACTGTGTTTCGGATTCGGAGCCTCAACTTCGGTGTCGAGGACTGGTCGCGGTGCTTCGGTCTTCGGTTTCTCGAAGCGCCGTCTCGGCGGCATATAGATTTTTGCTTTCTGCGAACGGAAAACATAGCATGGTCGAGCCATCTCTCGGAGGGAATGCGCGAGACAACGACAGCGATGAGAGTCGGGCGCTCCACCTCTTTTCCGAAATTTTCCGAAAAGTTTCAAGGATTATTCAAAGCGGCCGAAAACGCCTCTCGTGAGCCGTCGAAAATCTGGTAGGGAATACCTTGGGCAGTGCGAGGCGCTGATTCTGAGCTTTTTCAATTAGGGTGTCGTCCTCCACAAGAATGTCCCGGAACATTTTGTAGATCTGAAAATTCGATGACTCCAGTAATTCGCTGAGGCCAAAGGCTTGTCGGAAGTCCCCGCCAATCGAATCCCGAGTCGAACGAACGGATTCCAATTGCACGATGCATCCCTTCCGTCGTGGGTGCGATTGGGCGCTCACCGCTTCGATGTGCTCCTTCGATGGATCGTGACCACTACCACCTATGATTCGTCTGTGGCAATCCCGGAAATCGGCTCTATACTCCGCGCTCAGTCCTCTCCAACTATCGGTACTCAGGTACTCTAGAAATGGATGGATCGATTCGATTCAGTGTTCACAAAGAAGGGAACCCATGTAGGAACTCATGATATGAATGACATGGCCCTACCGCAGCTTTGTGATTCGAGTATTGCGGTGAGATTGACGCAGATGAAGTCAGCGCAGACCTATAGGAAATGAGACCTCATGAATTTCGTCATATGTACTTCAGATCGATGGGTGCTCCCGCTAGGAGCGACCGGATCCCAGAATTAACCTGAGAGAGTTTGTCGGCTTGATAGCATTTGGCGAGTTCGAATACTTCGCAGACGGTCTGAACGGTTATCAGACGGGAGAACAACTCATTTTCGCAGATAGATTTCAAACGCGAGAGCAAGAGATGGTCGGCGAATGCGAGCACGTCGCACACGAAGTTGATATCGAGTGATGACTTCACGGGCGGACACCTGGAACCGAGAACGAGCCATTCTGATTCTGATTGCATATTGCCGGTCTAGCTGTCAGACGCAAGATGATGTTGTGAAGGAATGGCGCCGGACGTAGTCTCTCACTTACGTGTCAGTGTACATGAAATCTAAGACGGCCCGTAAGGTCTCTGAGGGGACTGGCATGACGAGCTCTCTATTACAGGCTTCTCGCCAATCGCTCGTGAACATACAGCGGAAGTATTCACTCCGAGCCGCTAGGATGCATCGATGGGCACCGATTGTTTCCCCATCGCTACACTGCAAACGGGGGTAAATCCAAAGCCTTGACCACGGCATAATGCAATGTTTTAGGGCTCTCACGAGTTTCCGTCGATAAAAAAAAGCGAAACCAGTGCGGAAAGTGGGGAAGGAACTTCTCACCTGTATTCGGACATCGGTCGCGAAATCTCTCTCGATTGAAGCACCGAAATCGAGCTCCCATGCTTGCAAGAACTCGATATCAGCTGGGAGGAGCTCAGCAGAGTCCATGATTCCACCGTAGATCATTGGTAGAAGCGACGCGAAACGATCGCAATCCGCCTCTTCGGGTGAATAGTCACGAGTTAATAATTAAACACGGATAAAAAGGTCTCGAGTTCGAACTTAACGGTTCATGAGCCATGAATTACAAAGCTCGAACCTCTGCGCAACGATTCAGAGTACAGTGAGACCCCGGTACTACGGACACTCGGTCGTAATGGCACGATTGCCTGGTCCCCGCCAAGCTAAAGGGATCCCCCATGTCAAAAGGTTCGGTTGTAGCGGACCAAAATAAGGACACTCAGGTATAGCGGACTGATCCCTCGACTCCGTTTCTATCTCGTCGCTTGTAATTCAACTCGATTACGACGGACCCCTCCTTGCACGGCGGAATTTTCTTATCAAGTGATTAACAATGATGGGATTTTTGTCGAAATCATGTATGCGTATTCATTCTGATAGAAGAGAGACTCGTAGGAGTATTTGAGTTGCTCATTCGATTCACTATGGGCCTCTCAAAGACTATGTTCAGATATATGGGACCTCGGATTCAACGGACCGTTCGTCGGTCCCTGGGACTCTGACATGTCGGGGTTTCACTGTAATAGATTCTCCCATTCAAGATCTAGATGATTCATCCGACCCTCGATCGTTTGAAACTTGATTAGGAATTCTCACCGATTCGAATCTCGATTCTCTCCGCGTAGCTTTCCGCAAGGTCATACGTGGAGAGAATCTTGCGGAAGTAGGCGCTCCTTGCTCGCAATATCACCGAATGCAAATCAAATTGTCTCGAGTCTCCAGTTTCTGGCGAAACGCAGGTGACGTGAACGTCGCTGAGATTCGCAGCAGTCTCTGTCATTCTGAAATGATGATTCGATGAGCTCTCCCCTCCAATAATTTCGATCCCAATCTTTGCAAAACAGGAATCCCCAGGCTGCAAGCTCTCAGTTTTTCTGAAACCACACGTACTCAATGAATTCCTCCGAGGAACGCGATTTCTCCAAGTCACACTTGTTCAAGCTCCGGACTCCGACGTTTGCGCTATTTTGGAGAGCAGCGAAGCGCTTCCCTCTATAATTTGAAATACAGAATAGTGATGCGCGTCGAAGGATCCGTGCACAGGATTCCGGTCCGCCCATTTCTGCGGAGTCTCAACGTCTGCGAAAGTTTATGGAAGCAGCCGCCGAGTTACCTGGGATCACATCTGACCGCAACCGCGCGGTGAAGATGAGGCACCCTTCTTAAGTTATTGACGGTGACCGTTCTCGAACAATGTTTCTTCGACTTGGTTTTTGAAGACCATCCAACCATCTCGGTCGAGACGCTGCGTCCTATGTAACAACAGTAAACTTCACCCTGGAAATCCAAGACTCGTTATTCCGAAAACGCGACGCGTTAATCGCATCCAGACGGGAATGCATGCTTCAGGAGATCTGCCTAACATCGGAGACGCCCACCATCACGGATACGATGTGCAGCGAGCCATCGATTGGCAAGGCGAAATCTGCGACCTTGATGACAGTTTCGAAATGCACCCTCGAATGCAGCAGCTCCCGGCCCTCCCAAAGAGATATGTACCCAGTGTCGCTCAGGGTCAACAATTTGAGATCTGTGCCTGGAAAGATTTTGTGCGATTGGTACCGAATTCCACCAGGACCCTTCCGTTTACTTATCTCCACAAACCAGTGGTTAGAACCCACATTTGGAGGACTCTCCGAGTAATCGCTCATGGTCAATATTCCCTCCGACGACCACGATTTTCGTAATATCCTTCTGCTTGGAGACCACCTGGGGGACGAAATGGCCTGCTTGTTATAACATGCTTTCATCGACGGGTTTTTGGTGAATCGATCCGGTATCGGAGACAAGGCCCCCACGGAACACACCTTCTTCACATTATAATCGTGGACAAGGTAAACATCTCCGTCCGTTGTCAAGACGGCGATTGCTCCTTCACCACAGCTTATCGCAGAGATGGAGGGACTGCTGATGTTCTCGGAAGGCAAATCAATAGCTGAGACTTTCCTCGGGAGTACAGTGAAACGTTCGCCTTCGGGAACGAGAAGATACTAGTTAATTCAGAGTTGGATGTTCGTACAAGTGATTTAACGAACAAATGCACCATATGGGTCGTCCCTCCTGTACATCCCATCAAGGGTCTCAGCTGTAGCCGTTTCGCCCCGGTTCACTGAGTAGTCAGAGTGCCTTCATCCGGGGTTTGGGAAATCTAATTTCGAGTTATCGGGTCTCGTAAACCGGGGTCTGCTCATGTCATGTTGCCCTAATTTAGAGGAAACCCCAACACAGCAGCGTGAGGGGGAGGCCGAATGGGCGATCTCAGGCTTCCTCATGGAGGTCTGGGACTTGCTGCCGAATCCGAAGCTCGCCGGGAGCCGAATCTAACCGTATTTTGGATGTCCGAGCTGGCCCGCATTCAATCCCCATGTGTAGAGCGCCCGCTCGGTGTACAGGGCCGAGTGATATTTTCCTGCGCCTACCCCTTGAATCTGGAATTGAAGACAGATGTTCAGGAGGGTAGCCGATGACGGTTGAGCGCTGGCGGTCTGAGCCGGTGCTCTGGAGTTTTCTGGCGCTCCTCTGGAGAACACTCACTCACCGATTCTAGGATATTCAGTAGGAAAGCTTTTGGATTGAGGAGCTGTGGTTCTAGGAGTTTTTCGGGTCGTGCAGAGAAGCCGAGTTGATGATATTTGTTTGAGCCTAGAACTCTATCGAATGAGTGAGAGCATTCCCCGCTGCTGTTGTCGAGGGCCGAGGAATATATGTCATGCCTTGATATAAGCCCATTTCATTATATTCATTGATAGGTTGAATCACCAGGATGACTGGAAGAACCCACCACAAGTGAAAACATTCCCCTCGGAGTCGAGAAATATCGTATGATCCTGCCCAGCGGCAACCTACGGAAAGAGCGAGATGAGGAAAAAAATCTCGCACCAGAACACATTTTCCACGCCAGAGGAAGAATGACGGACAAATGACCTGCACGATTTTCGTATTGACTCTTCGGAAAGTAGGAACTTCTTCGGGAACCATGAGATCCTTTCCGTCACCGGTACCCAGGCGTCCACCAGGGCCGTGACCACTCACGAAAACTGTGGCTTGCTTTGTGAGAAATGCACTGTGGAACCTGCGGAGGAGATGAGTTCAATAGGGTCCCGTCGAGTGATCCGATATCGCTCCGAGATGCTGATTGCATTTTCGGTCAGACATGAGATTTCGCCGACGGAAAGCCTCTGGCTCGAGGGACGAAGACTCCGATCCCTAGGACTCGATTCTCACCTCTCAATCACTATATCTTGTATTCCTGAACTCAAAGGGAATCTCGGATGGGTTTTCGGCGTGCTGGCCACGCTGGTGCTGCCGAGCCCCAAGCTGAGGTTCTCATCTTCTCCCCAAACGTGTAGGGAGCAGGGGTTCGTGGGCAGGTATTTCGCCCAGGGTACTCGATCTCTGTTAGAGAGAGAGCATGAATGTTTTTGTTGAAGAGCATCGAGACCGATTTCTGTATCATTCGCTGACGACGCTCCATTGACCATCGTCCGTACCTGACGAGGATGTCCAGAGGCGTAAGCCCCTCGTGATCCTTCAAATCGACCGAAGCACCTTTCTGCAAGAGAATCCATACCGCCCCAAGCTGTCCGAAGAAACAGGCTCGGTGCAGAGCGCTCCATCCCGATTCTCCATCAACTGCGGAAGGGTCATGTTTCTTGTGTGACAATCGAACCCATTGAGCACCAGGTCGTCACCTGTGCTTCATTCGAGATATTTCTCCGAGTATAGTCTAACCTCTGTCGGGATCGCAGCCATAAGCGTCGATGAGCCATTCTATCAACTCCACGTTTCCAACGGATGCCGCTGCATGGAGCACCGTACGACCGAAAGCATCCGACAAGTTATGGAAATTCCAGCACAAATGGCGGAAGTAGACCTGAGGTGTCAAAGGCAAATTATTGATGCTCCCCATCTCTTTTCTCCACTGCTCCATCTGCTCGCGGATGGACAGACAGGGAGTTCCCATGTTTCTTGATCTAGCTAGGGAGTTCCCAGGGACACGGCGGGAAAACCTATTCATCGATGGATATCGGAGACGGCAGATCTACCTTGACTTCATCTATGGCGTAATTCTTGCTGGACATAGCAATGACACAATCGACGGCTTGGGATGCATGTTGGAGTGATTGACAGAAGACTGTACATTCTCTGTCCGTATCAACTTTCGGAACCTGTGGATGACAGCGGAGGTATTAGAGCCTCATTCAAGGAGACCGGGCTTCGGTCTTGAGCGATCCGTCCCGGCATCGTCAGTGAAATTAAGGCAGAATGTTCATTTTGAAGCAAGACGCCGCTCGAGAAGATCCTTCCTCTTCTGCCCATGGGCGGCTTCGCCTGAGATCAACGAAGTGGAGATGCATTGATTTCGGGGGGAGAATCGCTCGAGTTTCCATAAGGAAGATATAGTACTTGACTATTTGGTGTCTAGAGAGAGCCCATCTCCAACCTCTCCAAACAGCTGACGCTGACGACGATTACCCATGTCAAAGAGTTTCGGAAAGTTCTGACACTCGATTGGTATTCCCGATGGCCGAATCATCCCCCAGCATGCGCTTTGCGGGCTCCACAAGGATCATTTGGAACCCATGGTCACGGACGGAATTTCTGTGCGTATAAACGAACTCGACTTGCGAGACGCTCACCATTATTTTAGAACGAGGAATATTCTAAGACACATGCGATCCGATATTCTGCTCAGTCACTTCCAGTTGGCATCTCCTGCTAGTCAACTTAAGGACACGGCATACAAGAAGCTCAGTGTCAGTCTGCTATTCTCGGGTCTCTCCAGACCATCGTCCTGTGGAAAAACAACGTTCGATTTTCTTCTCCTGACCACCGGTCCGTCTGCAGGGAGAAGCTGCGCTTTTTGTTTACTCGCGTAGCAGACGAACCTTCTCGGCCCGCGTCGGACCCGCAATTTTGTACTGTACATCTCTGCAGCTTCAGCTCTTGAGTCGAAAGGGGCAGGAATGACCCTGGTCACATCATACTAGTGATCAATCAAGAGCGAGATTCTCATTCTGAGCTCGTCACTGTCACGTCATCGAGAATGCTCTCGGAATCCCGCAGACTCTTGGGGGAGCCGCAGGAGGGACGAGCGCTCAGAGGAGTCTACATGATGTTGTCCACATGATGATGTCTCACGCGGGCTCTCACCGACAGCATTCTTCACTTGGAACGACGCTGTATCTTGCATGTTTGCGAGCGCTTCCATGGAAATCGACAGCATGCTCAACGGGCGTCGGGAAAACTCAGCGAGGCTCCGAGCGTCTCTTGTCTTTCCCCACCCACCTTCAACCCGCAGCAACTTCAAGTATCATCAGACAGACGAGTGGACGGGCTGGTATTTCTCTTTGGCGGCATCCGATCCCGGGGCTTATCCCGATGCCCACGACTCCAGAGCCTCCGTCGATCGAGAATCCGAGAGCTAACCCAGAGAAGTGTGTGGGAGTACTCACCCGCAGTCCTCGGGCAAGCATCGGATCTTACGCATTGAAACTTGAGGGGAGACACCTCGCACTATGGAAGGCAATCGAGCTCCCCCACACCTGCAGGAGTCTAATCGTCCTGCGTGTTCTTCGCCTTCTTTCCCCGCAGATCGACCGCCTCCGTTTTGTCTTTTTCGGGGCCAAGCTGTTCTCCGAATGGGACATATGTATCCCTCAGTGAAAGAAACTCAAGGTGAAATGATATCATTCTGTTAGTACTCTACACGTTGCTGCCTGAAGTGAGTTGACGACTCCAAATAAAGGGTTTTCGTGGGTTGGAGGGAGAGATTCGCCGGATCCAGTCTCCGCTTCTCTGGAACGGTTCTCTTGAGCTTTCCGGCGGCTTTTCTGCCGGCTCGACTTTTCGTCTTATCCGCCGTGCCGCGTTCTCGCGCTGCTCGAGCAGATTTAAACTGCGAAATCCGAGATGGTGTATACGCTCTCATGTCCATCGAAATTCTACGTTCCAGTTTTTCGGGCAATGCCGTGGAGCTAATAAATGCAGATGCTTGTCTCGAGCTTCCGGGTACCCTCTCCGTATCCGACGAATCAGCACTGACATTCTGTTTCAATGATCCTCAGCGGGGTGATAAACTGCGGCTTTCACGAGAAGGTCCCAATGGGGGAGAGGAGTTCTGGTTGGGCTCCTGATGCAATGGAAATCGGATTGAAATCGCGCAGAGCGTCTGATATTGAGCCAGGAACACCGTCTCGGAGTTTCGCGTCCAGCGAGGCGCTCGGTGCTCGATCGATGCTCGTCCGCCGTATCATACGCAGCATGTGAAAATTGACCTGAGGTTCATTCGCGGGCCGTCTAATCAACTCCTTCATTCTGGCGGTTGTAAGCTTTCTTTCTGAAAAATTCTGTCCTGCTCCATTCACAAGTTGTATTACGGCCATGCGGCGGCGGCGAATATTGTCGGAAACATTGGTTGGCCTCTCGACCCTCGACCCCTCCGAAGAGTCACGATTCGCCGGAGTAGAACGTTTGAGCCATTTCTGCAGAATCCTAAATCCGCTACCGAGCACCGTTGCGCTCGCGGCTCCATGAAGTTGCCCGGGAGCGATTCCGAAGCGATATCGATCGCCGAAGACTGGAAGATAATTCATGTTGCGATCCCTCAGGGCGATGTCACGCAGCCTCACCCGAAATGCTTTTCAGCTCTCACTCTGTGAGTGTTATGCTTTCCACGAGAACAATCGATCGAGTCCATCCTTCGACCATTTTCCGCAGGAAACTCGAGCGGTTTCAGCATAGACTTCGCTATTTCGATTCCTTGCGAGCGGTCCCACGCGATTCAATAGAGGATAGGCAGCATCCTCACTCAATGCTGAGAGGGGTTGATTTCGAAGTCGAAGACAGTGCCGAGCCAGTTCTGGTCGCTTAAGCGAGAATGATTTTCTGAAATCAGTTGTCGTCATTGTCGACGGATGCGAGGTTCCCACGACATAACAAAGCGATGGCTCTTGTCAAGATTTCCGAAATCGAAACCATCCGACGAATTCGGCCCGACGTGAAGACGTCGCATTTTTGACCGCACAAGGAATCCTGGACAAAGGATGGCAAATGAGCCAACGTTCAAGTTCATCGATTCGGGTCTCGGATATCGCTGAGCCAGAATCGAGCGTCGTTTGATGCTCGATTTGTTGGAGCTCGATCTGGTGAGTTCCTCGCCTGAGAATTATTGAAAAGCCTCAAGGTCCATACCGTTGATTTGAGCCTAGTGCTCAATTTCTCGAAACGATTTAGGCGCTCACAATAATGGGCGAATTCCCCGGTGCAAGAAGGCGATGACTGAGGACATCCATTCAGAAATGTATTGTATACCTCCTGATTGAAATCTCAGACGTCGGCGTCGGTCCGAAACCGGGATCGGCGATGCTGAATCCTAATAGTCTCGCAGGGATTTCGCGGTCGACTTCTGCCCCGGTCGCGTCATAAATCGCGGAGCGTCCTTGGGAACATTCCAGGATAGGGCCAACGAATATTATCGGGGACTTTCCCTGTGACTTCGGTGAGTTAAGTCGTGTGTGCAGCTTCAGCGTGTCCAAGGAGAATTGAATGCAGAGAGCTTCGATGGATTTGCGAGATCGCTCTCGCGTGACCATTTTGACGATTAGGATCGACAGCACTCCGAATGAGACAGACAGAAAGCAGCCGACAGACTAACCAGGTTCCTTGATCCAAGCAGAGAGCTCACTGCATGCCGGTTTTATGATTCGAGTCAGACATACCCTCACGCGAGCCCCTTCCTTCACGCACTTGGAATCGAAACTGTCATGCGTCGGCACTAAAGTGGGGAGCAATTCTATATCAAGCAGTAAAATTTGAGACTTGTCGTACTTGTTTCGAGCGAGCCGTAAAACGGTAGCTCACTCGGACTGTCCCGTTCCTAACAGTTTCGTTATTTATTGCAGTTCACCATCGACAACCATCGATCATGCGAACTTGATGGAAAGGGGCGAGAAGAGACATTTTGACGGAAAAGACGGGGAAGCCGGTGTGGTGTGTCAGTGATCGCAGATTTTCATCACAAAGAGCTTCTGGCTGCGACCCGTGCGCGAATAGTTCTCCATCGGCAATGCAAGTCCAGAGAACCAGGTACCAAGATCTACGTCGAAGGCCTGCGGACCCTTGAGGAAACACCGATTCGGCCCAATTATGACAAGGATCTGAAGCAAACACACGAATTTCTGTCGCGTATACCTCTCCCGAACATCAAAGCAAACATCGGTGCTACTAATAGTTGGTTCATCTCGATCGGGGAGTGGGGTTCGGGTGGACGGCTGACCTTCAACCCTGACGGTGGCGGCCGAGCGGCGTCAAGCGGCGTCTTTCACTTCTCACCAGACGGGGGTCAGTCAGTCAGGCAGGCAGTTAGTACGGGAACACAGGCCAGAGAGCAAACGACCGAGCAGGCGGGCGGCAGGCGGGCGGACGAACGAACGGCAGTCGGAGCCCTTCGCTCAGCTTCTTCGTTCAGTGGAGTTCCTTCAATGTCGGTCCTCGGCTACGTCGACTCTCATTATGTAAGAGCATGCATGCGCCATGCCATCCGAAGAGACTCAGTGGTACACAGACATCACGAAATCCTCATTGGGCGTCGAGCTTTCACCGACCACGCCTGACGCTTACGAGTTTTTGTTACAGCATATCACGGAGCATCGGGCGGCTTATCGATGCCGATCGCCGAGAATCGGTGGAAGAAAATTCAATTCGAGAAACCTCCCCCGCAGAGGGTTCCTTCAGCGAATGCAGACTTCATTCGAATTGTAAGTTGCGAAAATCCAGTAGGAGACAGAGGATCGTCGGGAGAACCTCCACGGAAGACCGCGACTCTTGAGACGAGATCGCTGAGTCGCGACGGTAGGCACGTCGAAGATTTCAGAGGTGACGACGTCCCCTGGCGACCTGAGCTGTTTCGTATCCTAATGAGCTTAGGAGGTATCTTCTGTCGACCGTGCGCGATAGAAAACGGCAGGCTGTTGATTGGGCACGACGGAGGAGCGAGCCTGCTAGCGAGCAGCAGGAGTACCGGTGAGTCAAAATTGTGGAGCGTTTTAGGGCATTCGTTTGGTTACGTCAAGATCATCTGTCTTTCAGACGACGCGGTGCCCCGCTCTCTTCTCCACGCTTCGATTTCGATTCCGGGATGTCTAAGTCGTGACGGGCTTGGCTACTAGCTGTAACGCCTCCACCAGAAAGAAACAGGACTTCAACATCTGTCGGTCGCTTCATCAGACTCCAAACTGCTAATAGAATATACTACGCGAGATCGCGTAATATCAGGCCGGCGTCCGACGTCAAATCAATTCGCGACCGACAATCAAACGCAGGGCGACTTCGAATCCTACGGTGAACGCGACATGGCGAACTGTCTCTCGGACAGCCGGCGCACCGGGAGCACAGGAGCGACGTTCGTTCGGGCTTTGGGAAATAGCCGGCCGGAGCTGGCCGCTCTCGAACATGGAAAATCCTCCGCAATATTTTTCA